GCTGATGGCACTGCACTCACGCCAGCACTGATTTATCAGGCAAACTCTGGCAATATTCAAGACTCGTGGCTTCAAGATTTCGACCCAAAATCGTACAAGGCCTTCTTTGCCTCATCTCTCTCAGGCTGGACAAACCACAATATTGGCCTGAATTGGCTTAAGCAGGTATTTGACCGGGAAACAAAGCCGAAAGTCAGGCATGGCTACAGGCTATTGATCCTTGATAGCCATGGATCACACGTAACAATGGATTTTATACAATACTGCGATGACAACAAGATTCTACTTGCAATATTTCCGTCTCACAGTACCCACACCTTGCAGCCGCTTGATGTTGGCGTGTTTAGCCCACTGGCCAGGGCATACAGTGAAAGCCTAGCTAAATGGATGGAAGGGTGCCAGGGACTCTGCAGTATTACAAAGAGGGACTTTTTCCACCTATTTTGGACTGCCTGGGATAGCTTTCTTAAACCCATGACCATACTTTCAGCCGTTGAAGCTACTGGACTAGCTCCTTTTGATCCAGAATGGGTACTAGTACGCTTCCGCTCACAAGATAACCGCCCATCTTCAAGTGACAGTACTTCATCAGTACTTAGTGCTAGCGACTGGCGTAAGATTGAGTGGCTTCTACGCCAAGTTGTGGAAGATATATACGATTCACGGGCATCAAAGCTCTCCTATACAATACACTCAATTGCTGCAGAAAAGCAGATCCTTCAGGTAGAAAATGAGCAGCTCAAAGAAGCACTAATCAATGAGAGAAAGCGCCGTCAACGAGGTAAGCCGTTGCTCCTTGAGCCAGCAGCAGAGTACAATGGTGGTGCTGTATTTTGGTCACCTGCAAAAGTTGCACAGGCACGCCAGCGCCAGGCAGATAAGGATGAGGAGAAGAAAGCAATACAGGCTCAAAAGGATGCAGAGAGCAAGTGGCGAGAGGAGGCAAAGGCTCAGAAAGCTGCCTTGCTTGAGGAGAGACGACAACTACAAGCTGCTGCTAAATTAGAGTGCCAGCGGGAGCATGAGCAGAAGGCCTTTGAGGTACAGGAAACCCAGCAGGCCCGCGCAATTGAAAAACAACTCCGTGATGATATAAGACTTGCTAAAAGAGGCAAGAAAAAGAGCCTTAAGCCTCCTGCAGCAACTCCGGAAGCTATTAAGGAAGTACAGCCAGAGATACCTGTGCTGGAAGTAGACAGAGCTGCTGCAACATGTACACACAAGATACGGCTACCTAACCGCTTCCGCCAGGAGATATAGTAATATATTGTGTCACATGATACAATAAGCCTCTCTAATTGCTACACCAAAAAATCTGGTGATTTTAATATATATATAGCCTTGTACAGCCTCACTGTTGTAGCTGGTGAATGTCCCGAAATCGTGCACGAGCCAGTCCCGTGCATGAGCCAGTCGCTGACGTTATGCCTCGCTTGAGAGAGGACAAGGGTCGCCGGAACCGTCCCGCGGTCGAGCTATGACGTTGTCCTCCAACAAGCTCGACCAGAGCTTCTCCAAAACTCTCTGCCCCTTCGTTCCAGCTCCGACTCACCCTTTTTTCCGCCGCGTTCCTCCCCCAGCATTTGAACTAGGTCCACCAGTTGAGGCACAGGCAACGCGACTGTATAATCTCTTCGGGCTGCACGTCCGTGCAACTGCCATCATGGCCCCACCAAAGAGCCATGCGCTGCAGACCAACATGGATGTCGACTATGTCATCAGCTATCGATTCGCGAAGACGGGTATGTCTCCGGTTCTCGTAAATAGGGGATCATGGAAAGTTGACGATAGCAGACAAATCTGTTGCCATATCACAATTCGAAAAGCTTGTTGAAGCCCTTGCATCCGTTGGTCTGCAGACATCGGTGCGTGACGGGGATAACGACTCTGTCCTCGTGTTTGTCAAAGCCGTATCCGACGAGCACTTGTTCGGAGAAGTATACAGATCTCGGTAGGACCAAAACCCCAGTTTCTCGAAAAGGTATTGGGCTGACCACATTGGCAGAGTAAGGGACTGGATTCATGGCGTCCGAACCGCAGCTCCCCCGAAAGAGACGCGCGAAGCCCTCGAGGAAGAACCTCTGTACGAAGCCGAGCGCTTGAGAATCATATACCAGCTCATCACGAATCCAGTGGAAGAAGGAGGAGCTGGAATCACGCCCAAAGAGGGCGAATGGAAGAGCGTGGAGTCTGTCTTCGCGCTGCATGATCATCGAGCAAATAAAGATTGGATTCGGAAGTGGACCACTTCCTGGACACTGACGACCGAGGACCTGGACGAGATCCGCAATCGTTTTGGGGCCAAGGTTGCTTACTACTTCGCTTTTACGCAGTCCTACTTCGCGTTTCTCGTATTTCCGGCAGCATTCGGTGCGGCGTGTTGGCTATTCCTCGGCCACTTCTCTCCCGTATATGGCATCATAAGTTGCGTGTGGTGCACCATATTCACCGAGTGGTGGAAGCACCAGGAGATAGACCTTGCCGTCCGATGGGACGTCCGCGGGGTTTCGAGAATTGATACGAAAAGGAAAGACTTTCGCCCTGTAAAGGAGATAACCGACGCTGTCACGGGTGAGAAGATCCAGATCTTTCCCGCCACGAAACGCTTGCAACGACAGCTTCTGCAAATTCCATTTGCACTGGGTGCTGCGCTCATGCTGGGAGCTGTAATTGCGACATGCTTTGGTATCGAGGTGTTCATCTCCGAGGTGTATAATGGACCTTTCAAAAGTATCTTGGTATGTAACATCGACAAAGAGGTTCAACTCTCACTGACATGGCCCAGGTCTTCCTCCCCACACTCATCCTGACGATTGCAAACCCCATCAACCGAAGTATATTAACCAATTTCGCCACCATGCTGACCGACTTTGAAAACTACGAAACCCAAGGAGCGTACCACGCGGCTCTCACGCAGAAGCTGTTTGTCATAGACTTCATCGCCTCCTATCTCCCAATCTTCCTAACCGCATTCGTCTATGTTCCCTTCGGCAATATCATCGTCCCCTATCTCGACATCTTCAATGTCACGGTGAAGCCATTCGCGGCGGATGAGAAGCAACTCAGGGCGCCCAAACCTGGAACATTCACCATCAACCCAGACAGACTTCGAAAGCAGGTCGTTTACTTCACAGTGACAGCCCAGGTTGTGAACTTGGCCCTCGAGCTGATTGTTCCGTACCTCAAGCGACGAGGGTTTTCGAAGTACAAGGAAATGCAATCTGAGCGAGCAGCGAGGAATGGAGGCTCATCAACTGCGCGTACAGACAACGACCCCCCCGAGGAGACTGAGTTCCTAAAACGTGTTCGCCAAGAGGCGGAGCTGGACGTGTACGATGTTACGACCGATCTGCGTGAGATGGTTCTTCAGTTCGGGTACCTCAGCTTGTTCTCCGTAGTGTGGCCGTTGACTGGAGCATCGTTTCTTCTCAACGACTGGATGGAGCTTCGCGCGGATGCCATGAAGATTTGCGTCGAGATGCAGCGTCCGACGCCCTGGCGCGCCGACACCATCGGCCCATGGCTCGACTCGCTGAGCTTCCTGACCTGGCTCGGCAGTCTGACTACCTCAGCTCTCGTCTATCTCTTCTCCAACGATGGGCTCGGCCCAGATGGCCACCCGGGCAGCATCCGAGGCTGGGCTCTCCTCCTCACCGTCTTCTTCTCCGAACACGTCTTCCTCCTCTTCCGTTGGGCCGTCCGCGTCGCCATCTCCAAACTGGATTCCCCGGGACTGCAAAAGGAGCGTCGTGAGCAGTACCTGGTACGTAAGCGATATTTTGAAGAGAATCTTAGCCGATTGGAGAAGCTGCCCAAGGCGAAGGACCTGGGGGAGGAGGAGATTACGAGGGAAGGGCTTGAGGAAGAGCAGCGGCAGGCGAGTCTGAGGGAGGCGACGCCGGAGGTTCGGTTCTGGGCGAGGCAGAAGGGGTGGAGAGAGACTGCTAAGGTGGGCAAGGGCTTCATCGAGAGGGCGGCGGTGGAGGCACCGACTCAGCGTCAAGGCCGGAATGAGACGAAGAAGGAGTTGTGAGGGGGGGAATGTGATGCTGTGATTTGATGGGGGCCACTCTGAGCGAGAGCGGCTGGTGGCGGCGGTCGTTCGGTGGTGTAATAGCATACAGGAGATTGAATGAGGGTGCAGTGCACTGGATCTTGAAGCTGGGTTGAGAAGTGTCGGCCCGTGATTGCAGATGATTTCATGATTGCGATGCCCATCTGTATGCCTGATTCTTTATATCAAATGGTAATGCCATTATTGGAACTTGATTTGAAATGACTTCCTACACCCAACGGGTGATGGGATTGGTATCGGTAGGGACGTCACTGGATCCCCTTCTCCTAGCTAGCTACGAATATGTCGACCAACTACCTGTGCACACTGAATGTTTTATACTGATAAAGATTTGATCGCATAATCTGCTAGATGTTGAGTATTTGTACTATGTAAAAATGCAACGCCTCATGCTGGTATTCCTCCGGTAACCCCTATACCTTCCCGACGCCGAACTGAAGACAAAAGACAATGGAAACAAGATGCAAGTGTATAGTAATGCGATTTGCAGTAACCCAACAGCGTACCGAATCCGAGTTAAGAGATAAACGAAGAGACATGTCAACGACTCCACTCACAACTCCATCATCTCCACCAAATCCTCTTCAGCATCCACCGCCTTCGTCGCCGATGCGTCATCCGGATCAACACAGATCAGTCCGAAGAATGCTCTGGACGTACATGACGTCGTTGTCTCCGGCGGTTTGCGCGAACGACTTGGTGTCGGCGACTTGGTGGGTGTGGGGGAGGACGTGGGATCCCGGCAACCACCGAACCAGCCGGGTGTCTCGCAGCTACTGCTGGAAGTACGACTCGCTGTATGGGATGGCGATGGAGAAGGCGACGATGTGGGGTCAAGACAGCCGCCGAACCATCCGGGAGTTTCGCAGCTGGTGCTACTGCTGCTGCTGCTGCTGGTACTTTGTCTTGGCCTCGTTGTCGTTGTGATACTTGGAGCCGGGGCCGGTGTAGCCGTACTGCCGGGTTTGGATGTACTGGTGGAAACCGTCGTCGTTTCGTCTTTACAGCCAAACCATCCCGGCGTCTTACACGACGTCGTCGTCGAGCTTGAAGAACTACTTGTCGTAGAAACCGTGGTCGTCTCCGGCTCATCCAAACAGCCCCACCATCCAGGCGTCTTGCACGTCGCCGTCCTCGTCCATGAGGTCGCCGACGACTGGGACGAAGTCTTCGTACTGGTGACCAGGCTCGTCGACGAACTAGAACTAGGCTCGGTGCCATTACTCTCAAAGAACTCCCATGGATAACAATCCGTGCAGTCGAGATTGGGCTCACACTTCGGGGGCGTATCGTACTTCTCCAGCACATCCCGTATCACGTTCACGATCTTGTGTGTGCCGATACCGACGCGCCAGCCCAGATCGGAGACGGTGTCGTAGACGCATTTCAGGCCTGTGTGGCAGACGCTTTGCATGGCGTAGCCGCCGAGGGTGCAGGCGCTGCCTACTGTGTTGCACTGGCCCATGTAGACTGGATCTGCGGTATGGCCGAAGTGGAAACCTCCCGTCATTTGGCGGGTTTGCAGCGAGCCCACCTGGTGGCCTGGAGGCGTAGGGAGCCCCAAGCGCGCTGCGGGCATGGCTTCTGGCACGGCTTCGAAGGTAACCGCTGGGTGGCCGTATGTCAGCGCGATGAAGGAGGAGACCGCGCCGCCGAGCGAGTGTCCAGCCATCCACACCTCTGCATTCGGATACATGGCCGTGACATTGTGGTAGAGGTCCCGCGCCGCCGAGTAGTATCTGTTCTTTGCGCGTAGGGCGGTGACAAGACAGGTGGAGTTGCATTTGTATGCAGCCGTCTGGCAGTCGCAGACCTGTCGCCAGAGGTACTGGCCACCTTGCCCGCAGCAGCAACTGAAGAAGAGATTATCGTTGATCTTGTCATTCGTCGTCGTCTCCGAGCCGTCGAAGACGGCGGGTGACGTTCCCTTCACGCCTATGACCACGGTCGAGTTGGTCGTATCCGCGAAGATGTGCCCGCGGAGCCCGTCGGATTCCCAGCCAAAGTCTTCTGTGTAGTTGTACCCTCCCCCAACATCTGTCCACTCCCCGGTATGCGGCTCCATGATATATGCGTTGGAGGCCATGCGCGCGAAGCTGAGTACCGTCTCCTTGTCGGAGACGTTGGGACCCGGTAGCTCGTCAATAGTCCAATCCTCCGCGGCGAGTTGCACTGCCCTCCCCGTCCTCATGCCCCAGTCTAATATCCCGTCTATGCTCTCTTTACTCCTGTCCGCTAGTCGCTGGATACTCATGACTTCTGCTCTAGCCCGTAGCGGAGGCACAGGCAACCGCTCGGACGTGTTCTCGTCATCCGCCATCCATATGGCGGCTTGCTCGGGGATGTCAAGGCGGCGATGAAGGTTTGGGTACTTGTATGTGCCATGGTGGAATATGTGTCGCAGGGAGAACTCCCGCACGGGGTTGTTGTGATTGGGATCTGGGGTAGAGGGTGGAGGTGGGAGGATGCGCGCATCGCTGGCGCTGGCCGAGGCGACGGAGAGGAGGGAGATGAGGAGAGACGCTGTCAGGGTCTTGGTAGATGTGCAGAGTCGTTTCCGGCGCATGGTGAATACGTCTTGAATGAAGGAAATCGTAGGGAATGCGGTACAGAGGGAAGTGTGTCGTAGAGTCCTGGAGGGAATGAATGGTGCTTGTCCTGCTTATGACGCTGCTCGCCCGCGCCACTCCGCTCACTGTGACTGTCCAAAGAGGAATAGCGGCAAGTTCGGTATCGATAACGGACCTCATGCAACGCGTTCACCCTACAACGCGGTGCTCCTCATTCTGATTCATGACGTCTCCTTTTCACATATACGCCGCAGAAAAGGGTGGTATTGTATATAAGTTGCGGCTGCAAAAGGGCTTTATCATCTTTATATCCTTAGGACCTGTCCGTATTTGACCCGCATGCTCCGCAGGACATTCGCAATCGACACACCACATTACCACCAGGTCTACGGATGAAGACACCAATCACTTTGCATGCGTCTCTCGTTTTCATCGACTCTCAATCATGAGCGAACGGCCAAAACAACTGCACTCTGCCAAATCCTTCAGTCGACTTGAACCCACACAGTCGAAGGGAACGCGATCCCGCAACCGCGCAAGCACACTCCAGGGGCCTCCTGTTAATGATATTCTGGATCCTCTCCGAGAAAGGATCTCTCCGGAGGACGAGGATCACCATGTTGAGGGAAGCGTATTCACGACCCAGGAGCATGTAGGAGAAGCAACAATATCGGAAGACGGAGTGCCGGACAGCTTTGAGGAGCTCCCAATTGAGATAAGGAGCTTGACTGAGAGGTATACCTTCCATATAAGCTGTAGTACTTCTTGCTCTGACCATGTTCAGATTTCTAGAGTCCCTCTCCGCCAAGGTGCATCCGAGCCCCTTGTCCGCCGACGCTCTGTCTGAGCTTTTCCAAGACTTCTATTCACGGGCGTCCGCCCATATCAACACCCATATAGCAACCTTAGCTTCTAGGTTGTCAAGAAACGATGCTGGATCTCCTGCTGGGCGGACAGGCAAGGCAGGCGATAATGTGGGAGAACAGCAGATGCTTACCGCAACCGAAGTCGCCAATCGGAAGAAGGCCAGGAGGCAGTTAGAAGCGAAGCGCCTGTCTATTGAAGAAGCAGTGGAGAGAATGGTGTGCGAGCGGGTGTATGACCGGATATATCGACACCGCAGCACCGACGATGAGGAACGAGATCACAAGCTTCGCTCACGTACTGCTGCGCTTTCGCTGGTGGGTATTGGGTTGAGAGAATTGTTGATGACCGCAGATGACCTATCGGAAGCGGAGAAGTCCAGGACAAAGGAGCGTGAGGGTGAAATAAGAGAATATTTGTCGACTGCGAGGGCCGACATACAGAAAATGGACGAGGAGCGATATCCGTTGGGAAAACTCCGGCATCTAACGGCCGCCCACAAATCCATTGTCGAGGCGCTGTCAAAAATCTTCCCTGCTACCTCGTCCGCAGACGAAGTGCTCCCGACCTTGATCTACACACTCATTACTTCATCCCCGGAGTCACTCAATGTGGTTAGCAATCTCAAATTCGTTCAGCGGTTCAGAGGGCTCAGCCGCCTCGACGGTGAGACCGGATATTGCCTGGTCAACCTCGAAGCGGCGGTATCGTTCTTGGAAACAGTTGATCTCTCCTCTCTCCGCGCAGAAGAAGCGGGAAGAACACCCTCCCGGCCCACGACCCCGCATGCCGAGATAACACCAATGCCGCTCGGGTTATCTCAAGCGCCGGATCTCACACAGACTCCAGCTACTCCCGTAAGAGACGCTCCAAAGCGGGCTCCTAGTCCGGGATCCAAAGCGCAACGTCGCCTGAGCCAGCTGATCCAAACCCAAACGAACAGGATCGAAGCCGCCTCTGATGCCGTGCGGGACTCCATCATCGATTCTGCGGACCAGGCGCTTGATACCATCAACAGCACCCTTGAGAATAGTTTGAAGTTCCTGTTCGGGAAAGTCAGGGAACGAGATCCCAACAGCCCAGGAATCCATGATGCACCCATACTACCCAAGACGCTTGCTGAAGCACGTAAACTGGTCTCGTCACCGTCCGGAACAGCCAGAGCCGAAGATGATGCTGGTAGTGTGAGTGCCGCTAGCTCAGTTTTTGGCGATGAGAATGCCTTTGGCGATGGCAGAAGGGACCCGGGTAGCAAGATGGCGGATTTGTTTGGTGGCCGTCGTCCGATAAGGGACCGTAGTGTGGACTCAGCAAAGTCTGGCGGCAGCAATAGCAGTCGAAAGCCTGCAGCAACGACGACTTCGAATGACGGCAAATTGGCACCCTCTGTCCCTGTCAGACCGGAACCACAGTCATCCAATAGTGCTGGCTTCGCGGTGGACTCGCTCAGGAGCATGAGCAACTCTTTGAACCCACTGAATCGCTTCGCCAATATGAATGTACTTCCTAGGTTTGGACGTGCAACTCCGAGCGCTTCTAACACACCCAATGCGGCTTCACCGATCATTGAGCACAATAAACAGCTGCCCCAGGCCTCTCCGGCGTCTCGAACCGTGTCCGGAGAAGTGCCACACGTGGAAGAGAAGGCAGTGCGGGCGGTAGCAGCGCTGGAAGCATTGCGGAAGACGACGCCGCCTGTCAAGAAGTTTCTGGAGGCCAAGGATGGACAGGAGCTCAAGTTGAAGGAGGTGGACGAACTGTTGAAGGAGTACCAGCGCTTAGCCGGCGCGTTGCGGGCCGCTATCAATTATCGAAATGAGGATAAAGTCAATATGTAGACCAGTGTGCAGGTCGGATTGTTCGATGTGCAGTTGTAGGTATACAGTGTACATGTAGATGGTGTCTGAGATGATCTGTAGTTTGAACAGTGGCTGGTGGGCATGGACCGGATGCGCAGAGGGGATCAAACCCTATTTCTGCCGATACCGCCTGTTCAACGACTGTATGCATCATTGCTGTTCTGCCCTCCTGTTGTTTTATTCACGTCTAGTTACTTTATACCTGACTGGCAGTCATTTCCAAGGTTTGGTTGGGCAGATGGTGAATTAGGCTAAGCCCGATTGGCACTGCCCTGCAACTGGGCCAACCATACACCATAAACACAAAACAAACATGCAAAGCTTGTCCGTTTGAACATCTCACATTGTCAACCACCACGCCCATCTATTTTCCTACCATTGCAGACATGGCAGAAGCACTGGTTGAAGTCTCCCCGCAGAAGCTCAACTCCAATCCTATTCCTATCGAGGAAGGCGACATCAGCTGGCACGAGGCTCCTTCGTCTCCCTTCATAACCCATGTTGAGCCCGATCAAGAGAACATCGCACCGCCCGAAGTCACAACCTCGACTCCCACCAAACCATACTCTAGAATTTCCGACAACGATCCTCAATCCGCTTTCAGATTGCCATCACCCTCGAAGGGCCTCGGCTCCAAGGAGCGCACATCTCCCATCAAAGCGGCTCCGGCACAACCATCGCTGAACGAGTTTGACGATATGGAAGACATAGAAAACGCAGTAGCCCGTCACAGTCCCAAGAAATGTTCCCCAATCAAGAAAATGGCAGTGGATCGTCCGGACTCCACCTTGAGCGAGCGATCGCGCAATGACTCGTCGCCCACCAAATCCTTCCATACAGCGGCTGAAGAGAGAGAGGTGAACCAGAGTTTGGACGCCAGCTCCCTGACGGCGGAGCTTATGCCTCATGTAAAGAGGGACAGTTCTTCGAGTTCGCATGAGTCTGCGTTGCGGGACAACGAAGGCTTGACCGTCGCCATGAAACTGATGGAGCAAACACACTTCGAGAGGCATGAATTTCACGAGCGCTCTTCCACATATCGGGAAGAACACGGCATAGCCGACATAGACGACTACCTCGGTGCTGATGAGACAGAGCTGAACCCCGATGGGCCAGATCTCACGTCTGTCACCATGGACGATACGTGCTTCAGCAACTTCTCCGAGATGCCCAATCTGGACATGACGAAGTTTGCTTTCCTCAAGAAGAGCCCCACAAAGTCTGGACTCATGGATCAGGTACGGCGCGACTCGCACGGGTGGGGATATCCTTTCGCTAACTCAAGCAGGCAACACCCCGAGCACGTCCACCTGTGACTCCGTCAACTGTCCGGCGAATGGAGCGGACTCCTTCGCCAACGCCGCGTCAATCACGGCATGATCACAATGCAGGAGATACTACGAACCTGCTCCTGGACTTCACTGCGCAAATTGAGGCATTCTCAGCCTTTTCACGAGGAACGCCGTCTCGAGGACGTCAATCGCCTAGCAAATCTACAACCGAGCCCAATCTCCTCACTTATATCCAGAATCAGCGCTCGCCGGCAAAACCGAACTCGCGTGTACCAGCCACACCGTCACAGAATCGCCAGCTCCTCAATCTTCTCGACTTTGAACTACCCCCACCACCGACCCCTCGCTCCGTGCCCACTGTCACTATTCGTGAACTTGAATCGCTGAAGTCTACTTTTCAGTCACAGATATCTAGCCTTACGGCGTCCCTGTCTGGCAAGGAGGCTGAAGTTGACTCGCTCGTCAAGGCTGTTTCGGATGCCGAGCGCCGCGTTGGAGAAGCACAAGAACTCTTACGCGATGAGCGCAGCGCGAGAGAGCATGCGGAGGCGCAGATGGTGGATTGGAAGAACAAGGGCGAAGAAGTTCAGAAGCTGCTTCAAGATGTGCAGGCTGAGCTAGCGCGGAATGATGCCGAGCGCGAGGCTCTCCTCACGCGTCTGGCAGAAGTTGAGAAGCGTGCTGAAGACGCAGAGCAGAGGTCGTCGGAACTGGAGACGCGTTTGATTGAGGCGGAGAGCAAGAATGTGGACATGACAACATTCATCAATCCCGAAGAGGATGTTGGGGAGAACAAGAAAATTTACTCCGAGCTCGAGTGTCAGGCTGCTATTGCAGAGAAGGTGAATGAAGTGGCTCGTGAACTGCATACAGCGTACAAGGCCAAACACGAGAAGAAGATCAAGGCGCTGAAGGAGAACTATCAGAGAAAGGCCGACGAGAAGTGCAAGGAATTGCGCTTGCAGATCATTCGATTAGAGCGCCAGGTTGACGAAGCACAGAAGAAGCGGGATGATACCTTCTCACAGGTTCTTCCTGGGGACGTGTCTATCAAGGCTGGACCTTGTGAGAAGTGCGCGAAGGAAGCGGCCAGCAAGGCGGAACTGACGCAACATCTGGAGGCTTACAAGTCCACCATCGAGAACCTCAAAGCGAAACTGGCCGGCCTGGAGTCCGAACTGTCCAGTTTGCGCAAGTCCCACGATGGCCTGCTTCAGGAGCTTGAGGCTGAACGTGTCGAGAAGGGCGAGCTCGTTGCCGCAGCCGAACAGATGCTCGCTCTCTGTGGTGAGAAGATGGAAGAATATCAGCAAGAGGAACTGCGAAAGTCTCAAATGGCGGCCCCTCGCCCTGTCGCCCATCCTCACACCAACCCGGAGCCTATGCGTACTACCGGCTTCTTGGGTGGCGCTCCCCCTCGTCCTGGATCTTCGCTCAGTGGAGGCCGACCTGGCAGCGGTGTGGGTGAACGCCTGGGAGCCATGGGCGCCGAGAAGCAAAGCTCCATCGCGAAACCTAGTGGGCTCCGGGCCCCTGGTGGGTTCGGCTTTTCTGGAGGAGCTGCTGGCGCTGGTGGCTTGGCTAGGAGCGGTAGTGGAGGGAAGAGCAGGCTCATGAGTAACATCGAGCGGATGGGGGGTCGGGGTTCGGAGTAGAGGCGTCAAGTTTTAGAGCTTGACGGCGGCGGGTCTTGTGGACTGGCGTTTGGTTTGGGTTGATGCTTCGTCTTGGGTTGCCGTGGCCTAGGGCATCTTGTAACCACTGGAAGTACTTGTGGGTTCTTGCATGCATTGGTGATGTAAATAGGTTTGCCTGGGAATGAAGGCTTACTAAGTCTTTCAGATACTTTCCATGTAAAACAAACTGAATGAACTGTCTCTAACCCCGAAATTTCATCATCTTCTCGCCGTCCCGATTCTTATCCTCTGTGTAAGTACCTAGTACAAGGAAGGATGCGGAGTTGATCACGCGACGATGAATATGCCACTTCCGGGATGACATGTCTATCATACCAAACATTTAAGAGAACCAGTGCATAATCGTTAACAGGCCGTAGATTCAGGAGCTCAGCGAGCCGTCTCGAGCCAACTGCCTACGACCCATCGTACCACGTCTTTTTACATCTCTGGCAGATTCCGTACGTTCAGTTCCTCGTATTCCAGGCCTGAGCTATGGGTCGCTCTGTCCACGGGACCGTTCCACCAGCATCGATAGCTGTAGATGAGTGGGGAGCTGTGTCCTCAAGGGTGTTCATTGCAGCCACGAAGGTTTCATTCTTGGGATAACGGCCTTCTTTGGGCGGAGAAGAGCGATATTGAGCGCGCTCATCCTGGATGTGGCGCTCACTACCACAAGATGGCTCAGTAGGAGTGTCGATGATCCACTCGGAATCACCATCAAACTCATCAGGAAGAAGCGCGGTAACATCATTACTCGCATGGTAAACCTCCTGGATCCCTAAGTCCAAGAAGTCGGAACCCAAAGGCGTGAGTGTCAGAGCAAATGATTCGAGCGAAGGGCTGTCAACACGTTGGCAAACGACGTTGCGGAATTTCGAGCCGGGGAGAGCGGCTGGTGGTAGATGCGGCTCCGGTTTCAGCTCCTCCTGTACGTCTTCAGTCGTCATGGGAGGTTTTGAGTCAATGGTGAGGTGAATCCAGCACCAACAGTGTTTAGCATTTCCTATTTGCAGAAAATGCTTCAATTGCTCGCGTTGCGTGGGTCTACGACCGGAGGGCGAAGCTGGACACTTGGACATTGGTACCAGATGTGCAGGCTGCCGACCTGGGCTCCAGGAACACGTCGACATCTGTCGCGCTGGCGGGATATTCAGTGTCAGGCGGGTGATATGACCGGTATATAAGCTGTTCGCTGCTTTGGAGGTTGAAGTTAGTGTGGTATTTCCGCGCTTGTGAGTCAAAGACTCCACCTGGGTGAATGGCACCGGCTTCTGACGTGGCTCACCTTCCCTGAGGGATTTGACGGCCGACGATGACTCCCTAAATGTTGAGGTCGCGCCTAGATTCGACATTGTAAATGACAAGGATTGGGTTCGCGAGCCAGTGGGTAAAGTTATATGGGTAGCCATCTGCTGGGGAGTTTGTGGTCCAGCAGGCAGGACACGCAGGACCTCCTTTGCTTGCGAAGTGATTTTTGATGAAGACGCTGTCGTCGACAATTTGATTGGCTCCGACCAAGGCTGAGCAGAAAGAGTTGCAGTACGTTTCGGGGTCGTAATGGCACGATATGTCGCTGATGCTGGGGCCGTGTCTGCCGAAGTTGATATCAGGACAGGTGCTGCCCTGAGCATCGCATTCATTCCAGGTGGTGCAACGACGTGAGGCGTGGCAAGGACGGAAGGCCGGCCTAGGGCATGCGGTATCGTTTGTGACGCTGGAGAAAGAAATTCCCTGGAGTGTTTGTTGATCGACCCCAGTCGTTCGCGCGTCGTTGCCATTGAAGGACAATCTATCCGTTGGAGACATCGATCAAGCGGTTGCAGAAATTTAACTCTCGCCTCCTTCGCCGGTGAACCGATAGGAGGTGGCGTCGGCGTTGGCACTGGCTGGCCATGTGTTCGTTGAACCAGCTTCGGAGTCTCATACCTGTAGTCGTCTACTGAGAGGGTAAACTCGCGGTTTGGAAGTGACAAGGCCAAGTCGTTTTGAAAGGACTCGCAGGCGGTTTTCCCGACAGCAAGAGAGGCTTCAAATGTAGGACCGGTGCTGGCCGCGGTAGTCCCGCCTGGCCTTCAGCTGCTTTGATTCCATGTTGCGAATTTGAGCCAGCATTGCCTTTCCGTATGCTTCGCACCTTGATTCCAAGCAGGGCTGCATATTTGGTAACCGAGCTCGATTTTCGAATGGTTGTCTTCTGGTTCATCGGACTCTGCGAGGATGGCGAATCGGTTACCTGTTCAATCAACAGAAATTCAGCTAGAAAACTGGTAAAACATTGGTACCTGTGCGAGGGTGACCCAGTTTGTGGTGGGAGTGAGCAGGACGCATTCTCTTGCTTGTAAAGGCGTATATTCAGCGATGATATTCAGAGCGTGATGGTGACAGGAAAGAATGCTACTTCGAAGGTGCGTGTATAATGACCGTGAAGCAATATTGGGTGCTTGCTAGATGAATTGGAGCAAGTGTACGGAAGGAGGAGAAAAGAGCCTTAGCAAACTCAATTGATTGACAGCAGAGAATTGAGGATGCGTTTGACTCAGCATAATGTGACTGGAAAGAGGGATGTATAGTTCGGAAGCGAGTTCCCCATATTCTGGATGGCATCATGAATTAGTTCTGCATTTTTGACAGGCCAGCGTGCAACTAATCCGCCCGATACAAGGCTATATAGGCACTGTTGTTTTCTGCTTCCGGTTAGGGGATACGAGAGGCTGCGGAGTCGTGTGCAGCAAAACGCTAGGCATCTAACACAGCGGGTGACACCATAATCCATGGTGCAGTGGCAAAGGGCCCAGCTTGTCTGAAGCGGAGCCACAGCAGCACTGGACTGATCATTCACTTCATTGTACGCCGTGCCAAAATTATGGATAATAGAGCCTGGTGATGGTGGTGAGGTCGAGGGATGACTAAGCCGGGATCCCAGCAAATCTTTGAGTTTGCCTAAAGATTTCCCCACATTCACCAACTCCGGCAACCCACCATCCACTCTTCCCCCGCGAGCTCCAGAGCCGCGTCTACTTTTTCTTTTCCTTTCTCATACCGGCTCTTCTTTTTCTCAGGCGCTCCAGGATAATTGAGAATCCGTGCTGCAGACGCAATTATCTTGGAGCCGCTTCTTCTCCCTCTGCGATTCTCTAATCATCGGTCCGCTCGTCGCCGCCATCACCCATGGCATCACCCACAACCCAGACGGGCACAGAGCCTAAGCAGCGACGCCGAACTGCTCCACGCATCATTCCCGCCGTTCCCCTCAAATTCGCGCGCCGACCGCCAACCGTGAGACCCCTCACTCCAGAAGGCACCGCTCGCGGTCCGCTGGCTAGCACCGACGCGGACTCCCTGCCGTCTGTTGAGAAGAGTGCACCAGTATCTACCGCCTGTGATCCGCCCACTCCACAGTCCAGAGCCTCCGAGACCGTCAACGGGAACCCTGAAGCAGACGAACGCGAGAGCTTGACGGCGGCCCCAGGTGCCATCACCCACCAAGGTGCGTCGGAGCTCTCTGGGGAGCCGACTGCTCTCCTGTCAAGACCATCTAACAAATCTTCCGGCAGACTCTTCCCCAAAGGAAACAGACAGAGATCAATACGACACAGAGATCCCTCCCCAGAAGGCACCTGTCAGCGATGAGCACGTCGACGCAACTGAGCCTTCCTCGCTTGAGCAGGTTATATCTCCCGCCTCTCCCCTAAAGGACCCTCAAAGCCGCATTCTTCCCACTGCCCAACAGGTCTCCTCGCACGCCGGTCGCGCCAGTCTAGACAATATCGTGTTCGGAAGTGCGCAGGAGACTGCCCCCGCCCCTAACACAACGCATACCCAAGGGCAGACCAACGGTGTCGTACCTCAAACCTTTCTGGGCCATCCTCCGGGCCTGACCGGTCCCCATTTCCCACCCCCTTCACATTCTGATGGTTCTCAGCTGGTCCCTGGCAAGGACCCTCTCTGGGGCACTGCACCCGTTGGAGCTGCTCCTAAGGGGCCATATGTACCTAGTTTTGGTCCGCATTCCCAGCCCCATGGCAACGCAACATACCAGGGCACCCCGAATGGTCGCTACTCTCCTCCCCATGCCACCGAGATGTCGACCCGCTCGAGCTCGCACAGCCCTCGTAAACTACCACGTGCCAACCTAGCGAATCCCGCCGTGTACGGCAGCGAAACATCGGAGACCACATACCCTGATTGGAATAAGCCACCGCATACGGGCTTGAAACCACAAGAACTTGGGCCTCCCAGCTTCCAAGAGCCGTTGGACCTTGCCACCTGGCTCATGGACCAGGTAGGGAGACCCGAATTTGCCGATTTCTATCTTCAAGTACGCACAAACGATACAGTCCTCTGCGCTGTTCCTGTGCATGCGGTGGTTGTTGGTCGAAGCCGTCCAATTCTGGCTGCTATTCGGAATGCATTGGCATCTGCGCCGCGTTTAAGAGACGGTCCGCTGACTGCCAATTTGTTCACGGATAACCCGTTTGTCAGCCCCGAATCTCTGAAGGAAGGCATCAAGCTGTTGTATGGTGCACCGCTTTTGGCTGTCAATTCGATCTTATACCAGTTGGTACCGTTTCACCCGGGACATGGAACTGGAGTCCCTTCTAACGATGCTCGAACTCGGATGTCCCAAGCGATCAGCTACACAGCCACTGGCCATGTACTGGAGTTGTATAGCATGCTCACTCGCGGTGTTGAGCTCGTGAAAGCACTCCTGCGCTGGGATACGGTTGATCAGGCGCTGTCCTGGGCCCTTACCATGGCCCCGTTCTACGCCGACCATCTCCTTGCTGACAAGTCATCGAATCGCATCGAACATCAAGTTGCCCATTTGCTCAGACAGGACATCATCGAGTTCCTTGCCATCAATCTTCCTATTGGCTTCGCCTTGCAAGTTGCGGCGCCAGAGTTGCCCAACCTCCCGCGTTTGCCAACCATCTCGGATCAGTCTGGCCATAACCCGAGACTGAGCCAGATCCGCTTCGGGGATGCACCTGCCGAGGAAGAGCAGAAGCCGGACTTTGTCACCTCGACCCTCTCGAGTGTGCTTCTGTCTGCGCCTCTTCCTCTTGTGGACAATACACTAAACCACCCTGCAGTTGTATCCCGTTTGGGCTGGCATGGCGTCCAGACGTTAATGGACGCTGTGGTCGGTGAGCGGGAGCGCAGACGTTCGAGGATCCTGCAAGCGGTTGAGACGAGGTTTTCTGGACACGAGAGCGACGCGTATCCGAAAGAGGTGTTCGAGGGCCTGCTATGGCACGAGCATGTTGTTGCCTCTCCTGCGCACCCGTCTGGTTTCTCCGTGAGGGCGACGCGCTTAGGCAACCAGAAATCGAACTGGAATACTCCTGCTTGAGGCAATTGAGACAGTGCAGTACTCCGATAAGCATTGGCTGCCCCAGCCTTTCGCTGATCTCGCACCTGCGAGATCTTGGATGTCAGATACGCGAGGAGTTATGTGTTGGCTGCTTAATAGCCGTAATTTCGGGCAGGTGGGCACAGGTGGATTTGGGTTCAAGATTTTCACGACACGATTACAAGGCATAGGGAGCATTGGGGCGTTTGACAGGCGTCAAGGACGTGCGGGACGTCGCCATGGGTTCTTCTTTACTGGCACTGGTAACCGGAAAAGCACGACATGATGATATGACGTATTTTCTTTGCGCAGTAGAATTGCATAAGGTAGGGATCATGGAGCTCTGTACACCATCATTTCTCCTGTTGTCTGTACATTTCTCTTTTACACTGTCGATCTCGAGGTTCCCGGTGCTTCTTCAAGAGTGGTTTCGGACATCTCCAACCACTGTCGATGAGAGCGTGTGCTGGGTAGATGGTCCGGCCGTGGTGGAGGATGATTAATTCCAAGATGTATGCTAATACTGGCTGAAATGTCAATAGCTTCGCCTCGTCCACGATGCTTATTCACCTGTTGATACAGCCGCGGCCGTGAGGTTCTCTCCTGCGTGGTACCTACAAGTACGGGGACGATGATTAGTAAAACGGGGGGATGATGCCATCGACGCCTTGATGGGAGTGTGTTGGGTTGGCGAATCAGCAACGCCATACGTATTCTTGTCAGGGGCCCTGATGGCAAAGGGCGCCGTTAGTGCTTGTACTGTTTTTAGTGAAGAGCTTTCTTTGCCTAGGCATTGCTTGGTGTTTGCCGACGGAAGAGCTTATCCTAACGTCGCTCGTCTCCGAGACGGGGTTAAGGCCAAAGTCCTGACGCAATGCCACCAACCGGCTTTAAGCCATGGCGCGGAATCGTCTATCGGCATCATCGGCATCATTGGCTCCATCCTTTTTCACCCCTCCCCCGCTACCTGCTTTGAGTAATCCTATACACAGTACGTGTGCTATACTATACCCAATTCAGAGATGCTAACGGGTTGATTAGTGATTACGAGATGCCGCGGACAACAAAGACCGACTGCACGGCGTCACCGCCCTTGCTCTCTTATATATACTGGTAATAGCCTTCTCTTGTTCGCCCTGTGTCGCGTCTCCCCCTTTCCCATAACCACAAAAAAGTGCCCAGCTACCAACCCCGTACCTAGGCTGTACGATAGCTGCATATTGAAGGCGACGGGACATGGAGCAGGCAGGGGAGCCGACTGGTGTCTCCACGACCGCAACCGTTGGTGTCCCGACGTCGACATATTTAAACGAGAAGACGCGGGAAATTGCTTCATTATCATTACCTGGAGCCTCTTCGCTGAGCCAGTCTGAGAGGGAAGAGATTAACAAGAGTCAACGTGGGTCGATGGATAGGAAAGAAGACGCAGAAGAGTCGGACGACGGGCAGGAGCAAACAGATTTCGAACGGGTGGCCAGCAAGCAACCCAGTGTGAACAATGTGTCGAGTATACCGAACGGGGGACTTCGGGCATGGCTGCAGGTACTGGGGGCTTTCTTTCTCTTCTTCAATTCATGGTATGTATACGATGGATTTCCCAGTTCCTTCGCTTCCCCCAACCTACGTTGAAGCATGCAAGGAGGAGGGTGTGGGCCCATACTGACTTGACCCTAGGGGTATCATCAATACATTTGGATCCTACCAAGCCTATTACGAAACCTCGCTCCTCAAAGATTCGTCACCGTCTTCCATATCATGGATCGGCAGCATTCAAGCATTCCTGCTCATGATGGTCGGAGCGCTTACAGGGCCCATCTACGACGCCGGATATTTCCGTGCTCTCCTCATCAGCGGCTCGGTGTTGGTAGTGTTTGGGCAGATGATGCTGAGCCTGTGTAAAAGCTACTGGCAGGTTCTGCTTGCCCAGGCATTGTCAATCGGCATCGGCTGTGGTGCTCTGTTCGTTCCGAGCGTCGCAATTCTCAACACATATTTCACAACCAAGATTGCCACTGCCGTCGGCATAGCCGCCAGCGGCAGCTCTTTGGGTGAGTTCTCCATCGTCGTGTCTCCATATCGATGCCGACTGACATCTTAAGGCGGCGTCATCTACCCTATCGTCTTCCACAAGCTTCTCCCACGGATCGAGTTTCCTTGGACGGTTCGCACCATCGGCTTTCTGATTCTCGCGACTCAGCTCGTCCCAATCATGGTTATGCGCGTACGGGTTCTTCCCGCAAAATCGCGTTCCCTTCTTGATCTCCGCGCATTCCTCATCCCTGCCTACTCGCTTGACGTCTTCGGCTTCTTCATTGGCTTCATCGGTCTATACATGCCCTTCTTTTACTCTCAAGTTTACGCCATTCAAAAGGGCATCACGGACGAGAATCTTGCTTTCTACCTCCTAGCCATCATGAACAGCACCTCTGTATTCGGTCGCATTATACCAAACTACGTCGCCGACAAGCTGGGCCCTTTCAATGTTGTCATCCCTTGTACTATCATCTCGGCCGTTCTCTGCTACTGCTTCATTGTTGCAAAGAGCAGCGCCGCGCTCATCGTCGTCATTGCATTCTACGGCTTCTTCAGTGGAACGTTCGTCTCCCTACCCCCGACTACCATCATGCATCTTAGCCAGGATGCTCGGTCCAAGATTGGTACAAGGCTGGGTCAGAGCTTTGCATGTGTTTCGGTTGGCATTTTGATCGGAACGCCGATTGGTGGCGCCATCCTGGACAAGAGCGGCTTCGCGAGCGTCTGGGCCTTTGGCGGAAGTCTGCTGGTTGGTTCGGCGGTGTTCCTGACGGCAGCGAGGGTGTGCTTCAAAGGGTCCTCTCTTACGGTCAAGGCCTGAGGTCGTGATCTACGCTGGTAAGAGAGTTCCGCGCTGGCGCACATGTGCATTGTGGATCCCCAGGGTTTTTCCCTCTTCTTATCATCGAGCAATAGGGTATTTTTGCGGCATAGGCTAAGGGGGTTTCGGGTGGTACAAACATGCGTTGTAGAGTTTTCGTCTTCCTGTACTTTGTCAAGCGATTGGGTTCCTTGGTGGCATAAGCATCATGGTTAGATTTTATCTCCCTCAAGTTCTAGCATCTATCACACGCACTTCTTTCTAGTTCTTGATTAGACTTTGAAACGCTTCGGCGAAAACGATTCCCACTGCGAAAATAATATAGTATCTTCAGATAGTCACCGAACGAACTTGTGATGTCACCATAGCCTCTTGACTTGATAGTAACCGTTAGTAAACAGCCCTCTACTCTCCTTTCGCTTCTCGAACCCACTAAGTCGGGTTGTGCACGGCTAGCCAATGACAACCCACTTCGTTCGTGGCGCATCTCCCCGACAATCTGGCCATTTTTCATGAGAAATCGTGCGGTTACCTTGCGACGGTAGACTTTCTTATACATGCAGCTCCCTTTTGTCAGACGCGAACATCTTCCCAAATCAGCATTCACATTCGATACGCTCGTTCGAGAAGAGAAGCAGTGGAAATCGAGTACGTCTGACCGCTACCTGAGGCAGAAATAGCGGGAGAGACATGTAAGAAACAATACATTCCCGTCTCAACTCGAAATTCACTATGAAACCAGGTAGCGACCTGCCCGGCCCAACGGCAAAGCTAACACATGGGCAAGGTTCGTTGAAACAAGCGAGCAGCAACAGCTTGTTAAACTCCGAGCTTGAGTAGTGCAACATAGATGATATGTCTCTGGCACATCAATAAAAAGGTATAGGTAGCGTCATTCTTCAATAGATAATCGATCAACACTGTCCGCTCCAATCTTCCCTCTTCCTGTTAACAAGGTCTTGTGACTCCGGCTATAAGTGTTGCAATCTTCCACAGTCCTTGAGAGGCGTTTCGTGACAACTCTTCGGTCATAAGGTTGAGGAAGCTTGTTGGTGGGCTACACGCATATTCGTGTACTGCTAAGCAACGCCTCGACCAATTCATTGCGAGCTGTAAGCGCCAGCGTACCAGGGTAGAATATTCAGCCACTCACATATTCCCAGAACCTGCTGTGCCGCGCTGTATGATCGCCGTGGACCTCGCTGGAATCTCACGTCCCTTTCAGCTCAACTTTGCGGCTCCACCAGCAAAGCAAGAACGTTGTATCGCAGTCATTGTATTGAGATGGCTGAGGCCGTAGGTCTACTTGCGAACATTATCCAACTTCTTACGTTTGCCACGGACATTTATGAACGCCTGGAAGAATGTGCGTCGTCCATCAAGGGCTTACCGTCGGTTCTTGAAGGTCTGCACAATCGAATGCCCGTCCTTGTGAAAGCCCTCCAGAACACCAAGATGGCAATGGACGCTGGGGCTATGGACGAACAGTCCACAACCGCATTGCGCCAGGCTATACGCGGATGCGAAGGTCAGATGAGCCAACTAAACGACATTATCGACAAAGTTATTCCACCGGCGGGGGCTTCGAAGTTTACACGCAAGTGGAAAGCAGTAGGAAGTGTGCGATATGACACCAAAGTGGAAAAATTAGACGACCAGATACAGAGATATGTCAACGTTCTTTCTCATTACCACTCAACTGCAAACCTTGTCAAGCTAGCAGGTAAGTTCATCAACGCACATCCCATTAATCCAGCTGCGCTATCTTGCACGAACGAGAGTTACGCTGGTTTCGCGCGTTCTATACCTTCATGTCCGCACAAGAAGAAGCAAGAAAACCGAAACCCCGATTTCCCAAGTCGCAAGCGCAAGGATCTCGGTTCCATTCTATTCTGTTATTTAGATGATGGGAAAACCATGATGGGGACTACCTTTGGGATGGTACCTTTGCTGACGATGATGCTTCGCAGCCCAGCCTCCTCCTGTACCACGCTCGACGGTTCCCTACAGAGAAGACATTCATTTTGTGGATCGTAAATTTCTGACCATCCAGCTTTCTGCAAAATGTGAGGAGCCTGCAGCGCGAGTAGCACTGGTAGGGCCTGGTGGTGTAGGGTAAGTTTCGACGTCTTGTCAAAGCCAAACTGAAACTGACTAGGAGACAAGTAAATCGCAGCTTGCAATCGACTACGCCCATAAGATCCGAAAAAGCTCACCTGACACGTGGGTGTTCTGGATCAATGCAGACAGTGCGGCAACATTCGAGAAAGGCTTTGAGGATATAGCTGACAAGGCCCACATTTATGCGTACAATCCGCATGACCCTGAAAGAATGCATACCGTTAAGCGATGGCTTATGGAAGAGAAAAACAAGTGGTTGATCATCTTGGATAATGCTGACGACCTGAACGCCTTGCTACCGAACGATGACGCGCCCACCGACTCAAAGGAGAAAAGCTGTGCGTTACGCAAATCCCCGGGACAGGACCTCTTAGCGCTGCTTCCACAATCACCTAATGGTAGATACATTGTCACTTCTCGTAACAAGCAAGCCGCCACTCGGATTGTCCTGGGGGAGTACCACAACGTTATCGAGGTCGAAGAGATGGACGAAGAAGACGCTCTGGCCTTGTTGAAACGGAAACTGGTGGAATCCCCAGATGATGCGGAAGCCAAACAGCTGGTGGACGCTGTGGGCCGAATGCCACTGGCCATCTCAAACGCCGCCGCTTTCATTAATGAGAGGCGACCCCAATGGAGTGTAGCCAGGTACATTGAAGAGCTCGACAAAGGTGATGATGAACGACTGTATCTATTAGAAGAAGATGTTTATGATGCTCGTAGGGAGATTCAAGAAGGACGGTCGAACTCAATCGTACGCACCTGGCAGGTATCCTTCGACCACATCCGCGAGCACAGACCCTCGGCTGCCCGACTTTTATCGCTCATGAGTCTTATTCGCCTGCACAGCATCCCTGAATATCTGCTCGTCGGACAGTATGCCCAGCTATCAAAAGAAAATCGCAAGAGATGGTATAATCTCACAAGCCTGAAACAGAGATGCAAGGACAGCAGCGAAACACCCATAAAGGATGATTTTGAAGGAGATTGGAGAGTCTTGCACAGCTTCTCGTTGATCAAGACCGCAATAGACGGACACCACTTTTCCATGCACAAACTCATCCAAGCTTCTACCCGGAGATGGCTCCAGCTCCATGGAACACTTGACAAGTGGATTCACAGACATCTCGAAGTATTGAACGACAAATACGATGAGGATCTTCTAGAAAGACCTGCCGAATTAGTGCTCCATGCTTATACTGCATTGGCGTGGAATCCGTCAGACAAGGAGACATTAGGGCTCTCTGCCTTGCTCCTCTACAAAATCGTCGATCAAGACGGATGGCTTTTTTCGAAGGAAAAAGAAGAACAGTATTTCAAAGGCGCCGTAGGCCTGCTTGCAACTGCGTACGGACGAAGGCACCATCAAACACTGAAAGCAGCAACGACGCTGGCGGACTTTTATGTTCGAAATGGAAGACCCGCTGAGGCGGAAAAGGTGTACGGGATGGTTTTGCAAGCAAAGATAAAGACATTGGGCCCTACTCATCTGGACACACTCGCCTGTATGGACAGGCTGGGAGTAATTCTTGGAAAACAAGGAAAATATGAAGATTGGGACATTCTCTTTAGACGGACAATGGAGATAAGGCAACGAAAATACGGTATGGGACACGACGAGACCCGATTTGCCCTGCGAGCGAGGAGGGTCGATTTGGTCTTCCAAGGTAGATACGAAGAGGCCTTGGAAATATCCTTTCGTGACCATGACGAACGAAGAAAGCTAATTGGCGATGCGTATGACTGGATTTGGTGCGAGGAGGTAGAGCTGGTTGCGGGCTTGCTTCACTGGAAAGGACATGACAAGAAGGCGGAATCACTGTACCGCGACGTCATTTCTCACAAGGAGCGTCACCTCGGAGACAGCCACCAAAAAACATTGGCCAGTGTTGAAAGGCTCTGTGCTGTGTCTCTTAGCCAGGCAAAGTGGGCAGAAGTAGAGATACTGTGCACGCGTGTTCTGACGCATTGGACGGATCGAAAAGAAGAGGACAAGAGAGATGCCATGGTCAGACTTATCTACGCCTTCCTGAAGCAGAATAAACTGGAAGAAACAGAGGCGCTTGCCCGCACTGTTCTGGAGGAAAGTCTCAAAACAAACGGAGCAGAATCAAGTGAAGCCATTATGCCCTCACTTCTGCTTGGCTCATCGCTACGTAAACAAGGACGCTACGACGAGGCCCTCTCCTTCTTGGAACCCGCATGCAGAAGCGCGCAAAAGACTTGGGGCGAAGAGAGCCAAGATACTCAAGAAGCCTTCAAAGAGCTATCTCGCTTAAAAAGAGTCATATCATCCACAGAATTGGCACATGATAGCTCTGCTTCCTTGCAGGCAGCCTCTTTGATATCTGGAGCATCAGAGGCGGTTATTGGCGATGATCTTGACTTCCAGACGTCATGCGCACCCCAATAGAGACACATCGACATGTGTCATCCTGGAAGCGGTCCCATGGTTCGTTTCGATGCGAAACACCCCATATAGCCGGGAAATGACCACACTGTGGCTAGCTTCTCCTTCCCTTGCGCAGTTCGAATGGATTCAGAAGACGGTTGACTATAACGAGTGAGGAGCGCAGGACTTCCTCCCTAACATACCACGGTGAAAGCATATTCGAAAGTCAAGCTCTTTCGCGTGTCTCTTGGTAAACCGGTCATTTTCGGGCCGAGACGGTGTTCGGACTGCCAGCGAGGTATTAGATCCTGCTCTAACGGAATTCCGGAATGGGCAGTAAAATCAAAATTCCCGGATGGATAGTATATTGGCGTACGTTCCGCCCCTCGCAAACCGTATCTTCGAACCAGTCATCCAGGTTTCCCTCTCTGTCGATAGAAGGCACGTTTGCCACATGTCTCTTGTCTTCGAACATCAGCAAAATGAAGCCGCAATCCGCATCGTTCCTATTTGATTGGTACCCTTGCATACATACGGGCAATGGTTGATTCGGCAGTCGGACGGTTCCAATACCTTTGGATGTGAGAAATCCCAACATCTAACAATAACACGTTTCCTTGGTTGGTGGGACCAGCAGGACCGTTCGCAACACAATACTCGAGGAGAAGTAAAGCAAACTTGTTTGCTCAGATTGATTCGACAGCTCCTGATGCAGGACAGAGCTTTTCAAAGGAAGAGAGATGGCGAACGGGTACCGTATACGACCATATACTCCATTCTGCCGTGGTACACGCATGCATCGCCGCTCCCGATGACAAGATACCGGCAAGGCAAACCACCACCGCAGCGAGTCCCGAGATGTCCGGAGTGCTTGATTCGGGCGCATAGGAACTTTTTCAATCTTGTCAAAAGAAGGAAGTATTACGGTGGCTCGTCGGAGATTTTCCGCATGGATAGACCGTGTGCCGAGGACTAGTACGAGGACCTTATGGGCAGGTACTGCAAAGCGCGTGTTGGCCTATTCAGAACGCAACGACATGTCGCTGTATGGTCGGAAGCGGAACAACTCTGGGAAGAAACATAATCTGCCGAAGGAATCAGGATTCTAGGGTCTGACGACGCAGGCAACAATCCGCACCCAATGCTTCAAACGGTAACATCAAATCCAAAGGCGCGAAAAGTCGGTCTCTTACACACCGGACACTCTTGACCACCGAAAACCCGAACAACGCTTTACTAGAACAGACGGCCTAGCGTGTTGTCGTGGATGGGTTAGCTCGGGGACCGACAGCAAAATCCCCCATTCTCATCGCCGGCTCTCTCACCAAGCGTGCTCGATAACAAGATATGATCGGTGAATACTTAGTGAAGCTTGACCTTTGTAGGATTGGGGCGCTTCTGGTTGCGTCTAGCGTGGTGTAATGTGGTCTTTATCATGGGATCGGTGTTTTATGGTCTTCTTTGCAGAAATCAAAGTAATAAGGCTTGGTTGAGACAGCGCAGCTATTGGAGAGATAGAAAGTCAGTGGTCACAGGGTAGCACTCCATGTAACATGGAGAGTATATGCGCAGTGAAGTAGGTAGAGAGCGAACAATGATTGGATACTCAAAGGCGAATGTAGACAGTAGAGAAGGGCAACATATGAGGGCATGCAAACAATGCGCAACGTAATCAAAAGAAATGAACTGCGTCATGTACGCAAAGAACGACCGGCGAGATTGAATGAAATCACATAACCACGCAGCAGGAGTTTTGCTTCTTTGCCTTTGTTTGCAACGGTTAGCAAGCGAGCTACAAAAGGAAGGTGTGGCCACGCACCTGGGTATAAAACATCTTGCTCTGTGCACTCAGCATGTCACTCTTCGCAATCAAGCTGTCAAGCTTCTCCCCGCGCTCGAGCAGACTATCAAAGGTGTTGTATAGGATGACTTTGGTCTCGTCCAGTGTCTGTTCCAATTGAAAGATCGGGTCCGCTTTGCTGGGATCTTGAGCTTTTACAATGTAGTCTTTCAACTCGGGGAGAGGCATTGAGTTCGGCTGCTGTGCATCGGAAATAGCCGAAGCGGGATATCTCGTCGCGAAAGCGGAGCATATTCGGCCCAGAAGTGTTTGAGCGATGCGGAGAGGATATTCTTCGTCCGATATAAGAACACCGCAAATGTTCGATTCATACCCACGGACATGTATGACGCGGCCTAATCAACGACACATATCAGCTTGGCAGATGATAGATGGGAATCGGTGAACCCGGCCTCATGGCTGCATACCTTCCTCCTTAATTTTTAGTTGGGCACCGACTTCCGTTCGTTTGGCCGCCTCCAGTGCTGCGACCGTAAGCTATAATGCATCAGCATCCAGACGGTATTCAGGTCACTCCTCGCAGAAGTGTAAGGAGAGGCACATCGCGACGGCAATGGCGGCATGGAAGACGAGTAAAGCGTACAAGAGCGGCGACTTTGTCTTTGTAAAATCTGATGTGAGTAAGATCCGTTTCATGGCACAACTCGAGCGGTTTGTCGCTCTGATAGCGGAATATCTATACATGGTCACAAGTCAGCGTTGCCGGTTCTCAAGCTTCAAGAGGTGGCTTACCCCCATATAGAACACCTTCATGGCCGCGTCGAGTTAAGGACAAAGGAAGTCGGGTAGTACTGAGAGAAGAAACGGGATTTCCAGGCGTGTGTATGGCCTCTGCGGCGGCGTGGCGGTAGGGATGCCAACAAATGTCGTCCAAATCTCGGTCCAACCAAAGCAGGGAGCATTAAGTAAGCACCAAAACGCGGGGGCCGGAAGGGGCGTTCCGCCGAACACTCAGCATCCTCCCCGCCAACGCCCTGGCAGCATTTTTCAGAGGACCGAGGGCTGCTTCTGTGCTTCTGGTTGTCGATAACATCTTCGTGCAATTGCAGAGCACCTTTAGGGGGGAACTCCCATCGCACATCTCCCACCGCAAGAGCCGTCCCGCGCCATGCCTTCTACTCTGCAGAATGCCCAGGCGGCTTGGGTGGAGCAGCTCGAGGCAATGCGGAAAGCCATTGCAGAGCTGGGTCTTCCGTCCGAACCCTCGCAGCGTGCAGCCTACGGCGACGACCTGAATCTGGACAGCGATGACCTCTCGGGGATTAGCAGTGGCGACGACATCTGGGACCTCGTCAGCAATGAACCTGAGGATGAGTACAGCAGCGGCTACTTGGATGCCGAGTTTCAGCCACAGATGAGCAAGTCGGTGTACGGCGAGCGGTGGTTGGCACAACAATGCATCGAGGTGACCTCTAGAGGGGAGGGGCTGGATGCCAGTGTTCTGGAGGAGCAGCTTCTGTCCATACTGGCGAGCGACAGCAACGACGAGGAACTGCAGATGTTATTAGCAGACATCGTAGGATATGGAGAACTCGACTTGGTAGCAGAGCTGATCTCTCATCGGGCGGAGCTAGTGACGGCCCCACGAGCGCAAGCATTGAAACCGGCGGTGAGGGGACACCTTCAAACAAAGGAGGAGAGGGAGGAGGCGCTTCGCCGGCAGGACTATGCCCACAAGCATGCGGTGCTTGCGCCGGCTCTCGATAGAAAAGGCCCACAGTACCCGCACGTCTATCGAACCCATGAAGCGGGGAACAAACTCTCTGCGTATGGCAAGAAATATGTCCTACCACACAACCACCAGCATTATGACGACAACATATACGAGGAATACACGATACCGGCCACGCCTGTGGGCACCATTGCCGCTGGTCAAAAGTTGGTTGAAATAGCAGACTTGGATGGCCTTTGCCAGCGAACATTCAAGGGATACAAATCCCTGAATCGCATGCAGAGTCTGGTCTACCCGGTTGCGTATTCCACAAGTGAGAATATGCTCATATGCGCCCCCACCGGTGCAGGCAAGACGGATGCAGCCATGCTCACAATCTTGAATACCGTAGCAAAATACACCATTCCAAATCCCATAGAGAACCCGGAAGCTACCGACTTCACCGTCCTCTCCGAGGATTTCAAGATCATTTACGTTGCACCCATGAAGGCGCTCGCCGCCGAAGTGACTGAGAAACTGGGCAAGCGGCTTGCGTGGCTCGGTATCAAAGCCCGTGAACTGACGGGGGATATGCATTTGACCAAAAGAGAAATAATGGAAACCCAGATCATCGTAACGACGCCTGAGAAGTGGGATGTGGTGACCAGAAAGAGTACCGGAGATACCGGGTTGGTGCAGAAGGTCCGCTTGCTGATCATAGACGAGGTGCACATGTTGCACGATGAGCGTGGTGCGGTACTGGAGAGCTTGGTGGCAAGAACGCAGCGGCAGGTTGAGAGTACGCAGTCACTGATTCGGATCGTTGGACTGTCTGCCACCCTTCCCAACTATGTCGATGTCGCCGACTTTCTCAGAGTGAACAGAATGGCTGGCCTCTTCTACTTCGACGCGTCCTTCCGCCCCGTGCCTCTCGAACAGCATTTCATTGGAGTCAAGGGGAAGCCCGGTACCGCAAAATCGAGGGAGAATCTGGAGAACACTGCGTTCGACAAAGTGGCAGACATGCTTAGGCTTGGCCACCAGGTCATGGTGTTCGTCCATTCCCGAAAAGATACTGTCAAGTCAGCCAGAACGCTATATGAGAAGGCGATGGAAAATCAATGCACCGAGCTGTTTGACCCGACTGGCCACCCGCGCTATGACATGGCCGTACGTGACATGAAGCAGTCCAGAGGAAGAGAATTGCGCGAGCTGCTGCCGAAAGGAATGGGTACCCACCATGCGGGCATGCCTCGGTCTGATCGAAATCTCATTGAGCGACTTTTCGCCGAAGGCGTCATCAAGGTCCTGTGCTGTACTGCAACACTAGCTTGGGGTGTCAATTTGCCGGCCGCCGCGGTCATCATCAAGGGCACTCAAGTCTACAGTGCGCAAGAGGGAAAGTTCACCGATCTTGGGATTCTCGATGTATTGCAGATCTTTGGTCGAGCAGGTCGTCCGCAGTTTCAAGATACCGGCATCGGTTTTATCTGTACCACACACGACCGACTGGATCACTATCTGAGGGCCGTTACGGAGCAGCAACCCATCGAATCGCGATTCTCAGCCAAGCTTGTCGACAATCTCAATGCAGAGATAGCACTCGGCACTGTGACCACTGTACAAGAGGCCGTACAATGGCTGGGCTACTCCTATCTCTTTGTTCGTATGCAGCGAAGCCCTATGAACTACGGCATCGAGTGGGCGGAGATCAGCAACGACCCCCAGCTTGTTCAGCGGCGGAGGAAGCTCATCGTTGACGCGGCAAGAGTGCTCCAGAAGAGTCAGATGATCATTTTCAACGAGACGACAGAGGATCTGCGTTCAAAGGATGTTGGTCGCATCGCCAGTCAATTCTACGTCCAGCAAACAAGTATCGAGATTTTCAATACAATGATGACTCCTCAGACCTCCGACGCTGATGCTCTGGCCATAGTCAGTATGAGCGGCGAGTTCGATCAGATACAAGCGCGTGATACGGAGGAAAAAGAGCTGTCAGCACTTCAAGAGGAAGGATATGTAGTGGCCGAGGTCAAAGGCGGCGTGGGAACACCCCACGGCAAGACCAACGTCCTGTTGCAGGCCCATATATCTCGTGCGCGACTGGAAGACTTCACGCTAGTCTCTGACACCAATTACATCACGCAAAATGCTCAGCGTATCGCGCGTGCGCTCTTCATGATAGCACTCAATCGGCGCTGGGGATACCAGTGTCAAGTCCTGCTCAGCCTCTGCCTGTCCATCGAGCGCCAGGTGTGGGCCTATGAACACCCCCTCCATCAGTTCGACCTTCCTCAACCGGTCTTGCGTCACTTGGACGAGAAGTACGCAGTCACTTCCATTCCCGCCCTGCGCGACATGGAACCCGCTGAGATTGGGCAGCTTGTGCATAACCAGAAGATGGGCATGGTCATATCAAAGATTCTGGATAACTTCCCTACCCTGAGCATTGAATCTGAGATAGCGCCCCTGAACCGTGACGTACTCCGTATCCGGCTTTGGCTCACCCCAGACTTCAAGTGGAATGATCGTCATCATGGGACTTCAGAGTCCTTCTGGGTCTGGGTGGAGAACTCCGAGACGTCTGAGATCTATCATTACGAGTTCTTTATCCTTTCCCGGAAGAAACTCTACGATGACCATGAGCTGAACTTCACGATTCCGCTCTCGGACCCTCTACCTTCGCAAATTTACGTGAGAGCTCTTTCGGACCGCTGGTTGGGGGCGGAGACAGTGCACCCCATTTCGTTCCAACACTTAATCCGACCGGATACAGAAAGCGTCTACACGGATCTTCTCAATCTCCAACCTTTACCCATCACGGCCTTGAAAAACCCACTCTTGGAAGAGCTGTACGGCCAGCGTTTTCAATACTTCAACCCCATGCAAACGCAGATCTTCCACTGCCTCTATCATACCCCCGCAAACGTACTACTGGGATCTCCCACCGGTAGCGGCAAGACAGTGGCTGCCGAGCTTGCGATGTGGTGGGCATTTAGAGAGAGGCCCGGATCGAAAGTCGTATATATCGCCCCGATGAAGGCCCTTGTCCGCGAGCGAGTGCAAGATTGGGGGAAAAGACTTGCCGGTCCGATGGGACTGAAACTCGTCGAGTTGACTGGCGACAATACACCGGACACTCGGACTATACGAGATGCTGATATCATCATCACCACCCCGGAAAAGTGGGACGGGATAAGCCGCAGCTGGCAAACCCGCGGTTATGTCAGACAGGTCAGCCTGGTCATTATCGACGAGATCCATTTGCTTGGTGGTGATCGTGGGCCAATTCTCGAAATCATCGTGTCCAGAATGAACTATATCGCTTCCCAAAGCAAAGGATCCGTACGACTCTTGGGCATGTCCACAGCGTGTGCCAATGCCACCGATCTTGGAAACTGGCTGGGGGTGAAGGAGGGCCTGTTTAATTTCCGCCACTCCGTTCGGCCAGTCCCTCTTGAGATATTCATCGATGGTTTCCCGGAGCAGCGTGGCTTTTGTGCTCTCATGCAGTCGATGAACAGGCCGACGTTTTTGGCCATCAAGGCGCATTCTCCAGATAAGCCAGTCATTGTATTTGTCGCCTCACGCCGACAAACTCGTCTCACAGCGCGGGATCTCATCAATTTCTGCGGCATGGAAGATAACCCGCGACGGTTCCTACATATGTCCGAGGATGATCTCGCGCTGAATCTCGCCCGGGTAAAGGACGAGGCGTTGCGAGAGGCGCTCAGCTTCGGTATAGGCCTCCATCATGCTGGTCTTGTGGAGTCCGACCGGTCCTTATCCGAAGAGCTGTTTGCGAACAATAAGATTCAGATCCTTGTAGCCACAAGTACACTTGCCTGGGGCGTCAACCTTCCAGCTCATTTAGTAGTCGTTAAAGGCACCCAATTCTTCGACGCAAAAACAGAGGGTTACAAGGATATGGATTTGACAGATGTCCTTCAGATGCTTGGTCGCGCTGGACGCCCGCAGTTCGACTCCTCCGGCATTGCACGCATTTTCACGCAGGATGCAAAGAAAGAATTCTATAAGCACTTTCTCCACACGGGGTTTCCTGTCGAGTCTTCGCTTCATCAGGTTTTGGACGATCATCTTGGTGCTGAAATCGCGGCTGGCACGATTGCAACGAAACAAGATGCTCTTGACTACTTGACTTGGACATTCTTCTTCAGGCGCCTTCACAAAAATCCATCCTTCTATGGACTCGAAATCTCTGCTGAGGAACACAACACCGTTGCCGCCCAAACTATGGCCGATGACTACATGGTGAAGCTAGTCGAAACATCGCTGAAGGAACTCGCTGAATCGTCATGCATATCAATGGAGGGGGACGAGATTGGTTCTACAGCACTCGGAAAGATCATGAGTTATTACTACCTTTCACACAAAACTATAAGGCATTTGGTCAAGCACGCCAAGCGAGCGGCCTCGTTTTCCGATGCCCTAACGTGGATCTCTCAAGCCACGGAATACGATGAGCTCCCAGTCCGGCACAATGAAGACCTGATCAATGCAGAACTCTCAAATGCGCTTCCCTTGAAAGCCGACAGTTTCGGCCTTCCTATGTGGGATCCTCACGTAAAGTCTTTTCTCCTCCTCCAAGCCTACTTCTCGCGCATCGATTTGCCAATATCAGACTATGTTGGTGATTTGACGAGCGTTCTCGACCAAAGTATCCGTATCGTACAGGCCGCTATCGATGTTTTGACGGAAATGGGGTATCTTTCAAGTGTAGAGGCTTTGATCACCCTCTTGCAAGCTATCAAGTCTGCTCGGTGGCCTACTGATGGCCCTCTGTCCATCTTCCCGGGAGTGGACGTGGATCAGGAGAAGAAACGTCTGGAGCACCCGAAAGCTTACCCGACCAATCTCGTGGAAGCCACAACAGCCCCTTCCGGGGTGGTCGAAAAAGCCGGACGACTTGCTGGAGTTCCTGGTGCGGTAATGAAACGGTTCCATGAAGCGGTTTCTAGATTACCCGTTCTCAAGGTTGAAGTGGGAAGTGTGACCGCCGCGTCTATCCAGGTCAACCTGCGTCGGATCAATCCAGCGAGAAGCGGGCAAGAAGGCGTGCGCATCTATGCTCCACGGCACCCAAAGCCGCAGTCGGAGGGCTACTTTGTCATTCTAAGCTACTCTGGCACCGACGAGCTAGTTGCACTCAAGCGCGTGAGTTGGAACACAGGTTCGGAGAGGAGTGCCGCCTCGCAGCCGAATTCCAAACTCTCTGCCACTGCCAACATGAGGATTCCGCCGGAAGTGCAAGGCAAAAAATTAGACGTCACAGTCCTGAGCGATGCATATATCGGGATGAAGTGGGCAGTCAGAGGGGTAGATGTCCCACAGGCACCGACTGTAGAGGATGGAAAGGAAAAACAGAAATCTTGAATGGTTGACTCGGCTGAACGGCTGACTACCTGGAGACTCGGGAGAATGGTACTTTCCGCTAGTCTCAATGCCCAAAAACTATGAAGCTATCATCTTCGTACTGATGTTCTGTCCCCCTGGTCACAATAATCGTCCGTTTCATTACATTCAACATCGGTGTTATCGCCGGTATCCAAATCATCACTCTCGCTGTCATCCGCTCTGTTGTCGTCTGTGTCATCCCTTTCGCGATCCTCTATCTCGGCGTCTGTATTATACTTGTCCATTTCATCATCTTTCATCACATCAGCTTTCTTATACTCGTCCACATCTTCGCCCTCAGCTAAATTCCCCTTTCTGCCATGCGCTTCCTCCTCCTCATCATTACTGGATGTATCACAGTCCCTGTCGGATATAGGAAGCGCATATTCTCCCGGCTCGTACCGTGGGGAGTGCCTGTGGAAGTATTGCTGGGTCCGACCCGCGTTGAACTTTGTCCCTGTCGACGAACCGGACAGGCGCCCTCGCGCGCCTGACATACAGTACGTCTGCCATTCCGAAACTTGACCAGTACTTGTCCACTGCCGCTGCGGCACTCATGGCGTCAAAAACGTCGTCCGTGGGATGCGTGTCGCGCCAATGGCTCTCCAGCCTGGCGTCCTCTTCGAGTTTATAGATCATGTTTATCGCGGCGAGCTTCCCGGCATTCCAAGCATCACATGACTGCGCATACTTTTCCGACCAAGACTCGTCCCACTCTGCGATTTCCTTCAATTCTTCCCTGGTGTTCGTCAAGACGGCCATATAAGCCAGGTGGATATCGACGAGGCAAGACGGACACCGCTCGATCCTCTTGATCTTGGATTGTGACGTAATGGGATGGAGCACATGTTTGCACAAGCGGGCGACGCGGTGACGCGGCAGAGGAGCTTCTCGAGGATGGGACAGTCGGCAGGTGATGCGTTTCTCCAGATCCGAGTACATGGTAGACACATCGCGCAAACCTAGCTCCTGCTCTCTCCGCTTCCGTTGCCACTGCTGGAAGTCATGGTACTGGGTCGCTGTGGGGAGTCGCCCTCGATTCTGATGGGCAAATGGGAAAGGGTACGCCTCTCGGTGCCAGATGAAGTACCGCTGCAATTCCTTGCCGGAGAAGAGGAGCGAGGCGTCAGGCGGCCCGATAGTTGTTTTCGTTGCGTGCGGCATCGTGGAGTTGTTTGTGGCGAGGATGAGACGTGTGGAGCGTCCCACGGTTTGTCCCAGGCGGTCGAACACGGTCGAAGAGGAAAGATGGTGTAGCAAAGCGCTTGAGTCGAGCAGGGCACGGTGCGGACCAATATATAGGCATATGGAATGCGGAGACGACTTCGGTGACCTTGGCGTCGGTGAAAGTAGGTGAGTGAAGGTGGATATGGAAGCGCAAGGCAACGTTTGTGCGGGTTTACTTGAGGTATGAGAGTTTGGATCGGATCACATGTCCTCGTGAGATCGGATCGGCGCGCCCGACACATCTATGATGATGCTGTTGCGTTGACCGTGATGCTGCGCAGTGCCAGTTTCGACGCGTTACTCGTTCGGAAGATGGATGTTATTGTTGAGTGGACTCTCCGTTAGGTTGCGCTTTCCCTCTCACCGCTTCCACTTTTACATGCGCCACCAGGAACGACTGCGGCCTTGGGTCATGCGATTGCCTCTACTGTTGTATACCTACTCATGCGAAGAAGACACGCGTTCCGGTATTCAAATCACAAACCCCGAACTCACACTCCCACACGACTGTACCATTTCGTGTTCCCTCACTAGTCATACAGCGTGAGCCTTGATGAAGTCCTCCGCCACTGATAATGGCAGTGCTAACCGTACGATCTCCACCCGCCGTCGGTCTTGCATCGGGCCTTCCGTTTGCAACCACGCCCACAGAATGTCCGAGAAGAGCTATAGATCATCGACCGGAGTGGTTCCATCCATCCAGTTTAACTCGACATCCAACATATATTGCGAACCCCACCCGTTCGGGCTCTCTTCCCAGTCCCGAAAGTTCTTCACCATTTCATAAAATGTCTCTACTCTCTCCGCCGTCGGATTCCTGCACAGTTGATCTATGCATTCTAGCATTCCATCGGGCTTGTCTGGTGCTTGCTCCAGCACTTTCAGCATCCATTTATGGAACGGATACAACATCTCGTTGTGTGCGAGGACGAGTCTCGTGCCAAACAGAACCAACTTGCTCACAGCAGTAGATAACAAATAGGGATTGTCTCTTCTCTTCGCCTCTGAACAGTACCAATGCCACCCTTCCAGCTGCGCTCGAAACCTGACAATTCGGTCTCTTTTTTCCGCAACGGGGTACGTCACGACCTCTTTCAGTAGCTGTTCAAGCCCCTCCACGCGGCTGAAGAGAACCTTCGCCCCTTCGAATCCGAACCGCGCAGGCTCGCTGCCGCGTGCAGCGACGCGGCGGATGAAGTCAATGGAGATATACTTTCCGTCAAAAAACCCTCCCTCGTAAGTGCACAAGTCGAAATTTTTGAACGTGAGGCGTCGCCCGTTGGAGAGCAGGTTCGCGTAGTCTTCGTCGGAGAGGACGATGAGTATGTCAACATCGGATTCAGCATTTTCGAAGCCATGGGCTATAGAACCACTAAGGAGAAGTGCGAGGACGGAAGGGTCGGCCCAGAGATGATTCTTAATATTCTCAATAGATTGGGCGTGGTGCTCGTACATTGTGTATAGGTTCTCCGTGTTAAGCACTGACAACAGAATGAATTCTCGCAGCTGTCCGCCTGTAGAATGAAGTTGAAAGATGATAACGCATTTCAGACAGACTTCCCAGAGAATCTAAGGTATATGGGTAGACGTACAATGTCCGCTTGCCTCAGCGTAGTTGACAGTCATGCAAGACAGCGTGGCACAGAATAAGGGACCGGCCCGAGAACCCGCACCAGCAATCAGAGCCTTCCGGTGAAGCCAGGCATTTTGGAGTATAACGGTAGGACCAATCTCTGCTCAGGCAAAGGGACGGAGACATGGCGTATTAGGCAGCCGCGCAATTTAGTCGGCGATATTCATAAAGCAAAAGAGGGGGTCTATTAAAGGCTGGAGACATGTCTCCTCGGCTCCCATCCATTCCCACGGCGTGAGTCTTCACTTACCCTAGCCTTTCCGCCCCGCCCGACACCAACATAAACCACCACTAGCATGTGCGTCTACGCTGATATGCCATTCATTTACAGCCAGTGTGGCGTAAGGCCTAAACATGGGGTAATCCATCGCGCCTACAAGTTGTGTAGGCAACCCCGGAACATCAGCACTTATCGTCACTGCTCCGATGAATATGCAACCCCATCGCAAGACGTCCAATTCGGTTCCTCAAGGGTGACTGGGCCATGTCCAACATGCGCCGATCCTACAAAGACTCGTATCGAGGTAGGCGAGCCCTGATCTAATCTTAGCAGTACTAGACCGAGCTCCTACCTTAATTTAGACATACGTTGAAGGGTGAATTTGCGATGATAAAGCCGGAATATTGGCGAGCTGAATCACTACCGAGGGCGCAAGGGGGAGTGAAGGTGACTTGAAAGAAAACGCTTTATCGTGAGATTGTTCGGGAGAGTGTTCGGGGGACTGATGGTGTAGAAACGGGGCGGTGATACCAACTCATTCAAGGATTAATGGCGATGTTTCCGATAGGTAAATAGAGCAACGAGAAAGACGATGCTAGTAGATACAATAATATAGCTGCAATACTTATTAGCCGCAGAATCAGAGGCCACCGGCTAGGTCACTTACTCCATCCACCAGGGTTGACCGCTCTTTTCTTCCAGCGTATTTGCACGCCTGTCATTGAACTGCTTCCGAATGCATTTGACGTCATGCGCCGCCTCACCGGCGTCCCTATATTCCATTCTCCAGCACTTCTGAATAACCTCACCCAGGATCAGCGCGCTTGTATCCGGGAACTCTCCTGCACCAAATAGCTCTTCGATCTCTTCATCTTCCTTGTCGTGATATGGCTGCTGCGTTGTCTCCATCTCGTATAGTGCAGAGCCAAGCGCAAACACCTCCGACTGTATCGAAGGTTGTGTGGCTCGCATCTTTGGATGCTCTGAGTGAGGGCTGGGTAACACGTATGGTGCGGAGCCGTCAACCGATGCACCAGCGAAGTCAGACAACTTCACATCCTCAGCCCAGTCCAGCAACATGTTGTGCGGGCCTATGTCGACCTGGAACACACCACATGAGTGGACATGTTGCAGGGCCTCCGCAATCTGAGAAGCCCAGCGCAGTACATCTTGGGTCGGGGGCAGCTGTTGGGCAGCACGGAGGTCCCAGAGCCGCTTGCGGAGTGGGTACTGGAGGCGTTCGAGGACAATCATGCCTTTGTGTTTGTAGAGGACTTTGGCAATGTACGGATGTGAACCTAGGCGTTCGTAGATAGTGCATTCGATGGCAAGATCGCGTCGGCTTTCATCGGTGCCGCAAGGTGCCTTGATGACGGCTGACTCCGAGACTTCGAAGACCATGCTAGAAATGCCTCGAGAAAGGAAGGGAAGGTCAGACACGCGGCCTGGTATGGAAGGGTGCGGCTCCATTAGGAAGTACGTTAGGGGATGCTCCGCTCTTTTAGTCGCGAAGATCTATAGGAAAGAGTGGATTAGCGCTGGATATCGTGCGATCGGGGACTCTAGTTCAGTGGGCCAGGCATCGCCTAGTGAAAAGGTAAGCAAGCAAGAGCGAGGACCGAGATAGAAGGCTTGACGAGAAGGCCTGCTGTGTAGAATGTTAAAACCGTGCAAGGCTAGAGGTTAATTGTGCGCTGAATGCACGCGAGGAGAACAAGTTGTTAAGCGACGCGACGCGATGCGACGCGCATACGCCCTGTTTTACGTCTGCTAGAAAGTACCTTAAAGCACGTAGTAGATGCTAGGATAAGTTATTAGTAATCTATTAGCAGGCTATTAAATTAATAATAGCCTACTTATAATAGATATATATATTTATTACTTAGTAGATAGTATATAGAATATTATAGTATATAAGCTATTAGAAATAAATAAGCTATCACTTTATAATAGCTTAGGCTTTTAGCTTAAGTAATTAAAAATATAGAGTTTAAGTAGAATTTTATTTTCTTTACTATATAAGTAAAGTATATAGTAGATTAAAGTTACTTTTTAAAAGTTATATATATATAGGACTTAGTAAAAAGTTTAGACTTAAAAATATTACTTTAACTTAATTTTTTAAGCAACATACTTGTTTAATAATAGTAATGTACCTCACTGGTGAGCCGTCCTACCCGAGAGGAGCCCACAGATCGGGCCCGATCCCTCGCCCGATCCGGTATCGCATCAGGGTTGGTACCTCGGCATGGATCGGGCCCAATCCGTCCTAAAATGGGCATAGCATGACCACTTGGCTACTAAGGGGCGTGACCCTTAATCCCAACTTACTACGCAGTCCTAGTCTTTCTATCAGCGCTGCTATATATCTGTAAAGGTCCCACGGATAATGGTATGTCCTCTAGGAATCTTAGTTGGTCCTCGGAGATGAATGATAGGGTTCCTTGCATAGGGATGACACCGGGGATAATGGGGGTGACACCGGGGTAACGGAGGTGATACCGGGGGTAACGGGGGTGACACCAGGGGTAACGGGTATTTGAAAACCAAGTGTACTAGGAAGTACTTGATTTGAATTGAACACGATGAGCTGTAGGAGCTCATCGACTATAATTATATACTTCGTGATCACTCCGATCACTCAGCCCTCAGTGATCGTGCCCTGGTCACGTGCCTTGCGGCATAGTCCTGCCGCATCGGCGTAGTCTTGTACCACTTCTATTGGTACTTCATCAACCTTTGCCTCCTGACCCTGGTCTGGGAATCTATATCCGTAACAATATCTCCCACTGTTCCAGAGATCATAAACGCTTCACCTTAGGGAGGGGAATAATAGAGGGGATGGAGTTCAGCTGGGATGCACGACTGCTGGCTAACCAAGCACCACACCATAGGTTGGGTGCGATCACGATGAGCAATATGCAAGAGTGCTTCTGCTATCTTAGGAGATACCATGTGCTTGTTTGCAAAGAGCACGAAACAGGCATACAGAATATCGATGTACATCTGCAGGAGCAGCACGCGGCGGTCACCAGCACAGAGCGTGCAGCCATCGTAGTGTACTGCCGCCGCTGGCAGATAGCCGCGCTGCAGCAGGTCGAGCTGCCACCGCCGTTAGGGCCGCCGATTCGAGAGCTAGGAGAGCCGCTTGATGCATTACAGTGCATGTACAATGGTGACTGCTGCTCCCAATTCATTACTGTGAGCAAGAATATGCTGTAGAAGCACTGCAGGAAGGAGCATGGGCAAGCATGGAAAGGTGATACTGCTAGGCTATACCATAAGTGCAGACCTTCTTCCGTACTGGCAGGCTATAGCGGTACTTTCTTATAGATGCAGGGGAGGGCAGCAGCATGCCGTCTGCCCCCCGAGAGGCAGCAGACATCGTCCGAGAGCGGCTAGCTGAGTAGGAGGTGATGAAGCGCAGGTAGGAAGAGAAGGCTCAGGTGCTCGAGGCGTAGGTAGTGAAGATGGACAAGACAGGCTGGTTCAAGCGGACGGGCTGGCTAGAGCATCTTGCGAACCGGAATCTAGCCCATCTAGCCCATCAGATCCGGCTGCCCGATCGGGAGGAGGTGAGGCTGCAGCGGGCCATAGAGCTCGTCGAGCTGCTCGTGGAGAGGAGCGTTCAGGGGCTGTCGATGCTGGGGCAGGAGACGAGGTGGTGGCTGCGCAGCACCAGGCAGGAGGAGGTCAACATGCAGCTGATGGCTCGACTACAGAACCCGGAGAGTCAGGCTCGCTATGCTGGCTACATGGTCAAGTTCGTCTGCTATCTTCTGCACATCATTGCTGATGACAAAGCAAGAGCAGCAATGCAGGACAGTGACAGTGAAGAAGACAACTCAGACAGTGACCGTTCTGAGTCTGACAGGATAGGAAACAGCCACAATAGAGGCAGCAACAGCAACAGCAGCGGGAAAGAGAAGGACTGGCTGAAGGATGTGCGTAAGCTGTTTTGCTGGACTCCCAGGCAGCGGGTGCTAGCGGTAGTGCTGTGGGAGATGTTAGATACAGACAATCATGCCGAGCGGCATGAGGCTCAGCTCAAAGTGCTGCTCGATATGCTTACCTCCTTCATCTTTGCTTCCACTGGTGACAACCCATTCAGCAGTGGGCTGGTTCACTTTCTTGCTATGCTCGGCATCGATGCAGAGATGACTCGCTTGCGTATAGCGAAGAACTACTCGTATATGCTCGCTGGTGTCGTGTACTGCATACGAGTGCTGAGTGCAGAGAGGCTGCTTCCAGCTGCTTGCCGCAAAGAGCAGACTGCTTCTTGATGCTGCTGCTTGTTTGTGTGCACATGACGTCGGGGCAGCCAGGTAGAGGGTCGGAGATTACAACCATGCGGTATCAGAACGGGCTGCTGCAGGACCGCAACATCTTCATCATGGACGGGCAGGTAATGACAGTGGTGCGCTATCACAAGTCGTAGTCACAGTGGGACAAGCCAAAGGTAGTGCCACGTTTCTGCCGGCACGGCTAGGGCAGGTCATGGTGATATACCTGGCATACTTGCGGCCATTTCAAGAGTATCTCACGGTGCAGATGCTCGGCGGCAGCTTCAGCGACTATGTATGGGTGGATGAGCAGAGCCCGTAGGGGATGGACTGACTGACGCAGACACTCTGGCGGGAGACGGGCAAGAGGCTAGGGGTGGAGCTGCATACACTGGACTACTGACATGTGGCGGTTGGAATCAGGCGGGTAGTAGTAGATGAGCCATTCAGCAAAGGATATCAAGATGAGGTAGGGGAGATCGAGGAGGCTGAGGTGGACGAAGAGAGAGAAAGTGCATTGGAGCTGCAGAGTGTGCGGACAACGAGAATGGGGATTGGAAACTACAGTGTGCCGATCGATATCGTGAAGCATCTCAGTGTGCGATCGATCGAGGCATTCCGGCCGCTCAGTACACTGTGGCACCGCTTCTTAGGACTCGATAGGAGTGAGGGAGTGGGCGAGGGATGGAGAGATAGCAGTAGCTGGAGCAGGAGAACGAGTGGGCAAAAGCATAGCCGTGACGAGGAGGAGGAGGGAGACAGAGGACTCAGGCTCAGCGTACAGCGGAGAGAGGGCTGGGTCCATCATGGCAGTACTGGGAGAGAGGAAGCGATCCACAAGGCGATGCAGCAGATGCTTGGGCAAGAGGAGGTCAGCTTCCGGTCAGTAGAGTAGGAGCAGGCACTGTACATGGTGCTCGATGGGCAGACGCCGCTTGTTGTAGTGCTTCCAACAGACAGCGGCAAGAGCTTGCTGTTTACAGTGCCGGCTTGCATGGACGGCAGTGGGGTGACGGTAGTCGTTGTGCTATATCGAGCACTGATTCAGGACTTGGTAGGCCGTATATAGAAGTGCGGCATCCGCTGCATGGAGTGGAAGCATGGGGAGAGCAACCCAGCAGCTGTTGTAGTCATTAGTGCCGACATAGCAGGCGACACTATTAGCAAAGGGAACTTTCTTGGGTATGCAAACATGCTAAGTGGCAAGGGGCTGCTGCGGTGGGTGGTCGTGGATGAGTGTCATCTTATCTTCACATCGAGCGACTGGCAGCTGAAGCTGGCACTGCTGAAGAATCTGCGGCTGCTGCCGTGCCCGCTCGTACTACTCACGGCGACGCTTCCGCCAGCATGGGAGGGTGAGCTGGCGTCGAGCATGCTGATTCAGTGTGTGACGTATATCCGGGCGAGCACAGTGCGGCCGAATATGCGCTACTTTGTGTCGTGGTGCGAGCGTGGCAAGGCTCAGGAGATGACACTGGCGATATGCCGGTGGCAGCAGCAACGGCTGGCCGATCGAAGAGAAAAGGGGGTCGTGTACTGCCGCAGCAAGCAGCAGTGTGAGGATGTAGCGGAGGCACTTGGGTGCGGATACTATCATGCTGGGGACCCAGACCGTGGTGAGCAGCTCGAGCAGTGGCTGAAGCTTGAGGATAGATCATAGCTACATCAGCGTTAGGGATAGGCGTGGATTTCCTCGGCGTGGTTTCTATACTGCATATAGGGATGCCGTGGAGCATGATCGACTACGTGCAGGAGAGCGGGCATGGAGGGCGAGCTGGTGAGCGAGTGGACTCCATCATTCTTGTTGAGCAGGGCGAGGTAGAGCATACGATGGAGCAGAAGAGTGAGGACTTGGACGTGCAGGCAATGGGCATGTTTCTTATCGGGAGCGGGTGCCGGCGAGGGCTAATGAGCAGCTACTTGGATGGCAAGTGGGTAGAATGCAACGATATCGAGTCGGCTGAGTGTGACCGGCACAGCGAGGGGGTTCACGAGTGGCAGGACTCACAGGTGGAGACAAGCTGGGAGTGGCAGCAGGTGCAGGAGATGATGGACGAGCTCCGTGAGGGATGTGTGGTGTGCTGGGTATTGGAGGAGACAGGGACCGGCAGGTGGCAGGAGCACAGGACGATGCAATGCAGGGTATACGTGGGCGTAACAGGACTCGAGCTCGATGCGTTTCGATGGGGGATACGTGATGGAGGTGGCAGTCACAGCTGCCGGCGGTGCTGGGTCAGTCAGAAGTACTGTGCGATGAGCGAGGCAATTAGCAACCGATGTCAATGGCCGAATGTAGTAATACCTGTGGCAAGAGCAGCTGCAGAGAGGAAGGGGTTGACATAATCCGAGCATGGGGATATCGTGGAGAGCTTGGTGAAGACTGGCAGGAGTATGCACTTTGGCTAGGCAAAAGGCATACAGTTCGGGTGTGGGGAGAATATGTTAGCAACGCGATGGTAGTAGTTATTCGAGTACTGCAGGCGTGGCTCAAATAAGAGAAAGAGAAGGGGAGCATGCAGATAGAGTAGCTGAATTTGAATTACTAGAGGTGTGCTTAGCAGTCGTAAGAGCAGTCAGCATAAGAGCAGCTAGCAACGATGTATAAGAGCAGCGGACTAGTAGAAGAAGGTTTACTAGGACCGTAGCAGGAGAAGAAAGGGGCTGTATCATGTAGGCAGATAAAATAAAGAAGAAATAGAGCATGTAGCAAGAGAAACAGGGAAGCAAGAGAAGCAGCGCAAAATAGAGGGGAAGTAAGGAGGTACGTAAGGGAGAGCGCATGAGATAGTAGGGGAGAGAGAGTAGAGTAAACGCAGTAGGCGACGAAGTAGAAGTAGGAGAAGAGTATAGTAGCAGGAGAGAGAGTAGCAGGTAATAATAGAGCAGAAGAGAGAGTAGCCAGTGCAGGAAAAAATAAGGAACAGCGTAAGGCGACGGTGTAGGAGCAGGTAGAGAGAGGGCAATAAGACAGCAGGGAAGATAGAAGAAGAAGAAAGAGGGTAAAGAGCAGCGAAGGATTAGCGTATATATTTGATTTACGCAAGCAAGAAGTAGACAGACAAGTAAGAGAGAGTATATAGGGGATATAGCAAATAGAAAAAACGTTAGATTATTTAGGAACAATAGTAGGGACGGTAGAAGCAGGGCAGGCGATGGTGCAGCAGAGAGCGCAGCAGGAGAAGCGGTGAATTAAAGGGTACAGAGCACATAGTAGAGAGCAGGAAGACAGTGACAGTAGAGGAGGCAGTAGAGAAAGCAGTAGATGTAGCAAGAGCAGGGCACAAGAGAGTAGCACGTAATTTAGCAGAGCAGAAGGTAATAGAGCAGGAGTGAGAGGAGAGAGTGCAATAGAACAGTAGGAGGAGAGGCAGGAGAGGAAAGGATAATCGTAGCAGAATAACGATAGAATAGGTAAGCAGAGCAGCAGTGAATAAAAGAGTAGAGAAACAGCAGGCAAAAGTGCAGGAGAGGAAAGAGGGGGATAACGTAGCGGAGCGAAGGCAGGAGGGGTCGAAGGGTAAAGGAGGAGGTAAAGGTAGAGTAAGAAGAGGGTGCAACAGGACAGCAGGGGTTAGGCAAGCGAGAGATAGAGCAATAAGAGCAGCAGGAGCAGCAAGAGGATAGCAGAGGCGGCAGGGGAGTGAGCGAGAATAGCAGCAGAGAAAGCAATAGAAGGGCAGCAGCAGTTGCAGGGCACAAGTAAGGGACAGCGCAAGAGAGAGTGTAAATTAGTTGTGAAAAGGGAAAGGGGGAGAGAGGGTAAGGGGACAGCGGAGGAGTAACGGTAGCGGAAGAGGCAGCAGAGAGAGAGAAGAGAGAGAGGGACAGGCAACCGTAGGATCAGGAGAGGGGGTAGCAGGAGAGAGATAAACGTAGTTGCGGCAGACAACGAAGCAGGGGCAGTAAAGGAGACAAGAGAGAGTAGAGAGATAACAAGGAAGAATAGAGTAGAAACAGTAGAGTAGGCAGCAGAGAGAAATAAAAGAGAGCTAATAAATTAACACGGCAGACAATAGGGCAGGAGGCACAGAAGAGAAAAAGGCAGAAGTAGCAGTTAAGAGAAGAGTAGAGAAAGACTACGTAGGAGAGATAGTAGCAGAAGAGGGTAGTATAGCAAGGGCAGAAGGCAAGGGAGTTAAGGACAGGAGTAAGCAAGCGTATTAGGCAGAAGAGTCAAGGAGAGTATAAGAGAGAGTGTAAGCAAAATAATAGAGAGTAAGATAAGGGGTAGAGCAAGAGCGAGTTTAATAGTAAGGGCAAGAGATAGCAGTAGCGTAGGCAGCAGGAGAGGCAACAGCGGGAGAGAGGCAGGAGATAGTAGTACATGCAGCAGTTAACAAAGCAGGCAGAAGCAGACAAACAGCAGGCGACGGCAGAGAGGAAATAGTAGCAGATGAGGGGGTAAGAGCAGTAGGGGAGGGAGTAGGTAACAGAGTAGAAGGACAGCAATAGGCGACAGAGGGGGAGCAGAGCAGGATAGAGTGCAATAGGATAGTAGAAGAGTAGTAGTAGAAGCAGCAGGAGCAACAGTAGGTAAGGGTGCAGGAGAGATATCAGCAGGAGAAGCGGCGGAAATAAAGGAGATATAGCAGATTTAAGAGTAGAAAGACAGTAGTAGATAACAGAGTAGGAGCAGCGGGAGAAGGGCACAAGATAGCAGCAGGTAAAGGCGATTAAGTAGCAGGAGAGGTAGCAGAGGTTAGGGTTAGGGTTAGGGTTAGGGTTAGGGTTAGGGTTAGGGTTAGGGTTAGGGTTAGGGTTAGGGTTAGGGTTAGGGTTAGGGTTAGGGTTA